ATTGTCTTTTTGAGATAAGGTCTCCTTCTGTAGTTCAGGCTGGCCTTGAGCTCACTCTTGCGCTCACCGAGGCTGGTCTTGCTCTGGTCTATTATAAAGTGAGTATCCTTCATGATATTTCATTATATAGTCCCAAATAACTAGTAGAGAAGATTTTGAATATTCTTAACACCGATGTTTGAGGTGATAGATTTTTTTTTTTTTTTTTTTTTTTTGGTGGCTGGCTCAGCCCACCTTAGGGGCGAGGCTGGCATGCCTCATGTGGAGCTGGGGATTGACTGAACCGAAGTCTTGCGCTTGCCTACATATGCCCAAACAGGCACTATCGTCGGCTGAGCTATCTCACCGGCCCCAAAGTAAAATATCTTGATTAGATCACTACACAATGTGTAAATATGTGTGATTTTCACATGCTTAAAAATAAAATAACTAGTGAGATCCCCAGATCTCACTGTTGCTTGTACTATAGCTGCCTTGCCTGAGCCACCATCACTACTTGCAGTAGCTTCTCTCCACACTCCCAGCACTGTCCCCCTGCTGGCCTTACCTAATACTCTACAATCTTTCACCACCAAAAGTCTTTCAAGATGTAAATCAGATCATACCCTTCTATTGCTCAAAACTTCATCACACTTGTCACCTGCAGCAGCAGGGGTGAGTCTGGAGGACATGAGGTAAAGCGACTGTCCCCAGGGCACTTGCCCTCTCCTGCCACCCCACCCAGCCCCCTGGCTTGCTCTGGCTGTGGCTCAACACACAAAGCACGCTCTCACCTCTCATGCCTTGTGCTTATTCTTTCTCGGCGTGGAAAGTTCTTTCTGGGCCTGTCCATGGCTTGTTTTCACTAACATGATGGAAGTCTCTGCTTTAGTGTCACCTCTTGGAGAGGCCTGTGCTGATTACAGATTACAGATTTTCCTGGCTTATTTGGGACGTAGGTCCTCAGTGCTAGAACCAGTATGATCCTGCGCAAGTGAAGACAGCATTCCTGCTCACTCCCTAGGCATCTTTGTACTGTGTATTTTCTCTCTCTCACTCTCTCTCTTTTTTTGGCTTACACATTTATTGAACCTTTTTTTTTTTTTTTGTGGTACTGGGGATTGAACTCAGGCCCCTGCACCTGCCAGGCAAGCACTGAGCTATCTCCCCGGCCCAGAAGAATAACTGAGACATGTTGTCTGTCTGTCTGTCTGTCTGTCTGTCTGTCTGTCTGTCTGTGTGTCTCTCTCAGCTCAGCCCACCCTAGGGGCGGGGCTGGTGTGCACCATGTATCTCTGGAGAGAGAACCACCATCCCTGTGCTTGCTATGTATTTAGTAGTGTCTACAGGGTCTCACTACAAAAATCGGACTCGTAGCGATCCTCCAGTTTTCAGCCTTCCCAGAGCTGGGATTACAGGCGCGTGCCACCACGCATGCCCAGTCGCCTAGTCTCAGTCACCGTCTCAGCATGTCCCGGGGGCACGGCCAGCACAGCACTCTGGAGATTAAACTCAGGCCGGCCGCTGCTCTCTGTCTAAGCAGGTTCTTTAGTCCACTGAACTATCTGGCTGGCCCTAGCAGGTGCTTTAGACTGCTCAGCTCTCTCACTGGCCCTCTTTGTGACATTTTCGTACATGCACATAACTTACCTTCTCTTACCCCTTCTCTCTATACTTTTTCCCCCCCAGTACTAGGGATTAAACTTAGGTCCTTGTGCTTATTCCCTTGCACCATCTCCCCAGCCCTTCCCTATACTTTCCTTTAGAGCATTCTTCACTCTCCAGGCTCTGTGCTACTATTTAAATGTGCTTATTTTCTGTCCCAAACTAGATCATCAGCTCCAGGAAGAATGAAGGTTTTTCTTGTTCACTATTGAATCCTCAAGAACTAGACTGGGTCTGGAATATTTCAGGTATGCAGAACATCTCTTACTAATGAGACCAAATAACAAATTGATATTTTTTATTTATTTTTGGTATTGGGGATCGAACTCAGGACCTTGCACTTGCCAGGCAGGCGCTTATACCACTGAGCTATTTCCTCAGCCCCATGAATTGAAAATTACACATTAAATGGAAATTACCCAACCAATTAGCCTACACAAATCAAAAGAGAAGCATATATCTGAGGAAATATAAAGCAAAACCCAAAAACATCAAGTTTCAAGATGGTAGGTAGAAGAGGGCTATCAATTTCGTAAAAGTAAAAACCAAACAAACATACATTTGTACGTATATATGTACAGAGACACACAAACACACACAGACACCCAAAAGGCAGGAGGCCATGACACTAAGTTCTTAGGTTATTTTCATTTTTGAGCTATTGTGTAAAATTTCTCATGGGGTTGCTGCTTAGTTTGGTGTCTAAGTACAAAGTCCCAATGGCAGCTTTGATATGCTCATTGCCTGCTGTCACCTTAATTATAATCCTCACACCTAAGGAGCTCTCAGTTCCTCAGGCTTCCTTTTCTCTTGTACCACACTCTGATTTCCTGATCAGTATCCTTCTCCTAATCTTTTGACCTACAGTGGACCCTGTGATTTGGGGGTAGGTGGTGTCCACACTTCTAAAATCCCCAGGCCTGTCCCTCCCCTAAGGGACCATACAGCCTAGGTTCACCTCTTGTCCCACCACTCTGTGCACCTGCTCACATCTGTCTGGGCTGCAGAATGGGGCAGGGAGGAGCACCACACAGCTCCCCTTCCTTAGAACACTCCCTCAACCCTCCGGGTCTCCTTGCTCACCCTCCCGTGGGTCTTCATCTGCCTCCCTCAGAAGCCTTGCCAGACAATCCTGTTCTTGTACCTGCCTCTGCTGTTGCACCTGTCTCTACTCTACCATAATCCAAGTATTTATCTGCCTGACTGGCTCGGGTCAGCAATGGTCTCACTTTTGTCCCACACCTCAAGGGTTAGGAAGTATCATATCTTGCTTTAAGGAAGAGGAAACAGACGTGGAGAGGGGAAGTGATTTGATCAAGACAGATCAGTAGGGGCTGGTGAGATGGCTCAGTGGTCTAAAGCACCTACTTAGAACAAGCTAAGCTAAGCAAAACACAGGGACCTCGGTTCACTCCCCCAGCACCACATGCCAGCCAGCCCCGCCCCCTGGTGGGCTGAGCTGGCCACACACTAAATAAATAAACAACAACAAAAAAAGACAGATCAGTGTTGAATTCAAGTTCTTTGGGAAGCTAAGTCAGAAGGAGAAGTTTTAGGCCAACCTGAGCAATTTAGTGAGACCCCCCCATCTCTGAAGCCAAGAAAGAAGGGGATATAGCAGGGAGCTGTGTAGTACCTACCTAGCTTGGAAGAGGCCCTGAGTTCAATCCTCTGTAACACACACACACACACACACACACACACACACACACACACACACACAGGAGGAAAAGGAGAATGAGAAAATATAAGAGAGAATAAATGACACAACTAGGATTTGAGCCCTGGCTGAACCAGTCTGATGCCCAAAACTGGCTTGGAATTCTGAGAAATTAGAAGTTAGAAAAAAGAAGGAGTAAATGTGGGAAGTGAAGATGTATTTAGGGAAGAAAAATGTAGGCAGTTAGTAGGGAAGGAAAAAAGAGAGGAAATGACATGAGGAAAGACAAAAGAAAAGCAGAAAGAGAAAAAGGAAGAAAGAAAAGGAGAGGGGAAAAAAGTCTGGAAGGAGAAAAGGCATGGGGTGGGAAGGAAAGCAAATTGGTAGTTAACGGGGGAAGCCAGTTAGCTAACTCATGAGTCCTTTCAGCAGCCTGACAGGCCAGAGGGACGCACCCTGCCCACAGGTGATCCTCTCACCTGGTCACTCCGGGTCCCAGTGCAGGTCCTGGAGAGCAGTGCCCTCTCTCGCTACATGGCCCTTCTGACTGGGAACCCAATCCTAACTTGCCAAGCAGCCTTCCTTGGCAGGAGCGACCTGTCACCCACTTGCCTGACTCTCAAACCAGCTAGAGTTCAACCTCCCAGTCCTGTCAGCCGGGAGCTGCCATTGGGGCCTTCCAGTTACTAATTAACCACTGAACTGAATGGCCACTCTGGCTGCGCCCACTGGCTGCCTGGCAGCCCTTCCCTAGGGACCCTCTGAACTTTTAAAAGCTATAGGTAAAAAAATAAAACAATAACAACAACAACAAAACAAAAACAAAAAAACAGGCTCAATTTTAAACTTAACTTGTATAACCTTGGGCAAGTGATTTCAGCTCCTGGAGTCCCAGGTGAACTATGATGGCCATATATCCTGCCTTGAAGGTAGGTCTCTGAAGTCCCTTTCGATACTGTCACATTTCCATTCCTAGGTTTGCCCCCTTCCCATTGTCCAGCTCAAATGCTGACTTTCCCCCAAGCCAGCAGCTCAATTTCCTTTTCTCTCCAAGCCTGGAAAACTGACAATGAATAGACTTGCCTCCCCTGCCTCCTCTGGGACCCTTGCCTGAGGGCCACCAGCCTCTGTGCTGTGCCTTCCATGGCGCTCCAGAGGTGTGCAGCGCATTCGCTCCTGACCCAGGTCTTGACTGGACACTTCCGGCACATACTGTGCTGAGCCAACACCTGTCACCCAGAACTTACCTGCCTTGGCACTGTGCTGCAGGAGAATCAAAGCTGAGATGAGATCCAGGGCCTGCTCTGTTCTTTGGAGACCCGAGGCCCAAGGGCAGGACTCGGCTGGTCCTGCTCACAGGAAAAGAAGGCTTTCTTGTGTTGCTCAAAGCAGCCCAACCCTGAGGTCCTAACTCAGAGCAAGGGCAGGGCCTGGCCCACTGGGCAGTTGGGCAGAGCTCCTCTCAGTGGTCCCTTTGCCATGGATTCTTAGAAGTCTGACTTCACTTTGCTTCCACCCTTGCCTTTCCATTCAGATACCAACAACTTCATGGTCAGGTCCAGTGTTTTAAAAGCAGACAGCTCTGACACACTCCAGAGCCCTGCACGGCCACACTCCCCACCTCCAACACACACATCAGCACATGCCTGGCCTCAGCCCAAAGAGGGGAGGTGGCTGGCCCAAGTGCACAGAGCAAATCAGGACACCAGCCCGAGCCCTGCCTTCTTCCCTGTGCTGCTCCTCCACGCTCCTCCTCCCCTGTACTTCCAGGGCTGGCTTTTAAAAACCCACACAATGGCATCAATGGGACAAATTACATCAAAGACCCCCCAACCTTTAGTGTGCTATGTATCAACCTCAAGGTCTTGCACACACTGGACAAGTGTATCCCTAAAGAGTTTCAGCACACAGAACAATGTCAAATAAAAAATGAAATCTTCCCCTCCAGATCTGACTTCAATTTCATTCCCAGAGCTAAGTACTGTTAACTAAGAGGTGACAACCATGCTGGACGGTGGTCTTTGCCTTGATCTATATAATATTTTTTCCAGCACACTGAGCCATATTGTACACATCACTCAGAAGCCCATTCATTTTTCTTTTTCCACACCAACACAAAATTCAACACTTTTTTTTTTTTAACTGCTGCGACACACTGCATAGCATAGGATCGACTTCACTGGCCCTTTTTTCTGTTCCTATATCACTCCCATTTTGGGAGGGGAAAGGAAAGACAAAAGAGGGTAATGGATTGAAAGTGATGAAGCTACACTACACGCATGTACGAACTTCCTAAAAGAAACCCCCACCATTATGTAATGGTAACATACAGTAATAAACTAGAATAAAAGTACCTGTTCCATGAGCCTTTGAATATCGCTGCAGAGAAAATCTGTGCGTTCCCATCCTGTGGCCTTGTGCCATACTTTTGGATACAAACTTCTGAGATTGGGAGTACTGGGTGAGTTTTGACCTATTTCCCAAATTTCTGTACAAGGTTTGGCCAGCATACATCGCGGCCAGAGGGCTTGAACTTGTCCTTCTTCTCAGCAATGTTTAGATAACAGCCCAGGCCGCTTGTGCAGGGACATACACCTGTCCTCCATCTTTTCTCTTCCTTCTTCCATGCTCTCCCACCCTCCCTGGATGAACTCTGTTGTTTTGGTATGAAGATCAAAACACGGTCTTGGGATGTAAAGAAGCCGTCCACCTCCGGGAACACTCCCTCTCAGCCCATTTCTCTGTCCTTTGGCTCCACCTCCACCTGGACCTGCAGATTCCTCTATAGGGAGAGTAAGTACCTGGCTCAGGTCAGTAGAGAAAAAAAATCTGCTCCCCATGTGAGTTGGGAGCAGGACTGTCATGCCCACAGATTCACGCTTGGGCCCCAGTTTTCTTTTGAGAAAAAAAAAAAAATTATTTATTTATTTATTTAACTATTATAAAAGAAAATATTTAAATTTATTTATTTATTTTTAAGTTTTAAATTTATGTGTGTGTGTGTGTGTGTGTGTGTGTGGCCAGCTCAGCCCAGCAGGGGGCGGGGCTGGCTGGCATGTGGTGCTGGGGGATTGAACCACGGTCCCTGTGCTTTGCTAAGCTTGTTCTAAGTAGGTGCTTTAGACCACTGAGCCATCTCGCCAGCCCCTAAATTTATTTTTAACTGACAAAGAGCATACATATTAATGGGGTAACATTTGATGTTTCAGTACAAAGATTATGTAATGTTTAAATCAGTTTAAACATATATATCTTCTCAAATATGTTTCATTTCTTTATGGTAAAAATTTTCTTTCTGGGTGTTTTGTTTTGTTTCTGAGTTTTTTCTTTTTTCTTTTTTTTCAGTTCTGCAACTTTATTTCCAAGTTAGTTCTTGTCCACATTCACTGTCTGGAGATTTCTGAACGTGGTAACAGGGACGTAGGTATACAGCTTGTTTGGTGAATCTTCATCCTCATTTCATTTCCTGGACAACCGTACCCAGATACGCTATGCAACAGTCCTTACTCCTTGGTCTCACAGAAGTTGAGAACAGATGGTGGTTACGAAGGCTGGGGAGACACTGGGGAAGGAGGAGTAGGACCGCTTGCTCAAAGGTGCTAGGGTGCCCAGCTGCTGTCCCACTAAAGCCATCAGAGGCGGGGCTTTTGGAAGATGATTGTGGGGGCGTACAGGTGCACTCCCTGTTAGGAAGTGGGGTCTGGTCAAAAAGGTGAGTTCCTAGGGGTCCTTCCCAGCTCCTCCTCTGCACTGTTTCCTGGAACCCAGGCCATGACTGGCTTTGCTCCAGCAGACCCTTCAGCCCTGCTGCTTCCGCCTGGAGCCCCGAGCAGGCAAGGACTCACACTGCTAAACTGCGAGCCAAAATAAACCTTTCCTCTTCAAGTCGCTAGTGTCAGGTATCATGTCTCAGCCAGGAGGAAAGTGACAAGACAAACGGGTATTAAGTTACAGTTAGGTAGGAGCAAGGAATTCTGGTGTACCACTGCACAGTGGGGTATACTAAAATACAATGTACCGCACCTGTTAAAAAGCTAGAAAAAAGAATTATGAAAGCTTTTACCATCGCGCTCTTCCTTTCCTACTTGGGCCAGGTAGCATGGCTCCTGCAAAGAAGGGTGGCGAAAGGAAGAAGGGCCGTGCTGCCATCCACGAGGTGGTGACCAGAGAGTACACAATCAACATTCACAAGCGCGTTCCTCCGGCACTTAAGGAGATCCGGAAGTTTGCCATGAAGGAAATGGGGACTCCAGACATGCACATCAGCACTAGGCTCAACAAAGCTGTCTGGGCCAAAAAATATTTTTAGGTGAAAAATGCATTAAGTTTTAAAAAGGACCCCTAGGTAGAAAATGAAAAAGACTAGTTCTGGGCTGGCCAAATAGCTCAGTGGATTAAAGGGCCTGCTTAGGCAGAGCACAGTAGCTGGGGTTGATCCCTGGTGTGCCGTGCTGGCCCCACCCTTGGGGTGCCCTGAGATGTTGAGAGCCTGCAATCCTAGCTCTTGGGTGGCCAAACACAGGCAGATCACCACGAGTCCCACCTTGAGTTCCATGTACATAGTGAGACCCTGTAGACCCTGTACTAAAATACAAACACAAAACAAACAAAAACCCTGCTTGAAAAAGATTAGTTTTTTATTTACTTAAAAAAACAACAACAACAAAACAAAACAGATGTTCTCTTGGTATTTATTACCTTGTGTCTAAATAACAGGTTTATACTATTATTCTTCCATGTTTCAGTTTAATAAAAATTTTTCTTTCATTTATTTATTTGGTCTCTTTTGAGACAGGGTCTGGCTATGTAGTTCAGGCTGATCTTTTTTTTTTTTCCAGAATATATTTATTGAGAGAAAGAAAGCTCCTGTCCAAGAGAGGGACAGGAAGGGGGCCCGAGCGAGTAATTCCCCCAGTTCAGGCTGATCTTGAGCTCACTTTGTAGGCCAGGCTTGTCCCAAACTTGCAACAATCCTCCTGCCTCAGCTTCCTGAGTGCTGTATTACAGGGGTGGGAGGCACCACTGTGCCCAGCTAGGTTTAATAAAATTTTAAAGGACTTCTTTTCCTTCCTTCCTTCCTTCCTTCCTTCCTTCCTTCCTTCCTTCCTTCCTTCCTTCCTTCCTTCCTTCCTTTTTTTCTCTCTGTTTCAATCTTTCTGAGACAAGGTCATGGGGGGCTTGTGGGTTAGCGCAGTTGTTTAAAGTGCCTGCTTAGGCAACTAAGACAGGTGCAGGGGACTACAGTTCTATCCCCAGCTCTACAAGCCGCACCAGACCCACCCTTAAGGCAGCCCGAGCCAGTCAAGGAAAAAAAAAAAATCCTTCTGAGACAAGGTCTTACTATGTTGTTTAGTGCTGGCATTATAGGAGGTCACTGTGCATGGCAAGGCTTAATAACATTTTAAAGGACTTCTTCCTTCCTTTTTTTTTTTTAGTACGGGTCTACAGGATCTCACTACATTTATCAGACTTGTAATGATCTGCCTGTGTTCAGCCTCCCAAGTGCTGGGATTACAGGCCCCTACCACCACGCCCAGTCTCAATCACCATCTCTGTGTGTCCCAGGGGCGGGGCCAGCACAGCATGCAGGGGATCGAACCTGGGCCACTGCCCTGCTTTGCTTTGCTTTGCTCTGCTCTGCTTTGCTTTCTGAGACAAGCTCTTACTATACTGTTTAGGTTGGCCTTGGACTGAGTATGTAGCCCAGGCTAGTAGAGGATCCTCTAGTCCTCCAGCCTGAGCCTCCCAACTGCTGGGATTCCAGGTGTGCATCCCCATACCCAGCTAAAGGGCTTCCCTCTGACTATGAAGAATAAATACTTACATCTTGCCCATCCAAATACACTTCTGCTTTTCCTGACAATAATTTATAATTGCTTCATTAGATGGCTTACGAAATTACACATGAATATAGAGCATACATAGTGACACCTGAACAACGGAGATGTGTTTTAAGGAATGCACCATTAGGTGATTTTGTCATCAAGTATATTTACATACTAAGATGTCTTCAGTGTCAGTAGGTGATTTAATTTTTTTTTTTTTTTTGGTACCAGGGATTGAACTGAAGACCTTGCACTTGCCAGGCAGGTGCTTATTCTACTGAGCTATCTCCCTGGCAAGGAGGTTTAAATTTTATGGGCCCAACCATCCCACATGCAGCCCATCATCAATTGAAAGTCATTATGTGGTACATGACTGTACATTCGATATTTTACAGATTTATTATATATAACTCCCTGATACATTAATGTGTGTAAAACAAGTTTTGGCTTGTTTGGGTCTCACTCAATCTTCCTGGACCTGTTCATCCTCCTAGTGTAATCTGGCTGTCATCCTGGCCCTTCTTTTTCCATCACTTTGGAAATCCCCCTTGTCTCTCTCTCTCTCTCTGGTTACTCTGTCTTCCTTGTGTGTGTGTACATGCGTGCGTGTGTGTGTGAGCACGCTGAATCCAGGGCCTACCTACTGAGGGAGGTGGGTGGGGTTGGGCTACATCCCAACCCTTTTTTATTTTTATTTTTAAATGCTAAGACAGGGTCTTGCTAAGTCTCTTACATTGCTCAGGCTGGATTCAAACTTGCCATCCTC